CAGAGTTTAAGACAGACCAAAAAAAAATGTTTCTGCAGCATTAAAGCTGCCAAGAGATCCTGAGCACTTCCATGGACTGCAGAGGTTAGAGGAGTAGATTATCTCACAAAAAAAGAACATTCCAACACAAAGCACAGGAACCATCATGCATCTCAAACCTCCCCCCTTCCAAGCTATTGTAGCTCTGAAAATCCTTCAGAGTTCCTGAAGATTTTGATGAGCCTCTTTTTAAAAATAAAAACTAAATTTAAAAACACACAGCCTTGTCCCACCCTGAGACCTTCAGTTATGAAATAAGCAATTACAGCAAATAAAGCTCATAAAGGGAGTTCAATCATCTCCAAGCCACGAAGATAATTCAGAACTTCCCCTAAAGCACGAGATCAGAGACCATCGGGTCAGAGGCTCTCCTCAGCTCAGGAGCCACTCCGGCTCGAGGGACTCCTTTTCAAATCCTTGATTTAACAGGTAAACAGGACAGAAAACCTGCAGAAATGCAGGTCCTGAGGGCTCCTCCTGCTCTCTTCATCCTGAGCTCCTAAAGCTCACCCAGGACCCCCGGAACACAACACGGCACCGACAGGAACCGCAGCCCCACGCGCACAGCTTACATCTTTGCATCTGCTTGCTGTACTCAGACATGTTGTCTGGGCGGATGGACCTCAGGAACTTGATGTAGTCGTCGCTGTGGTACTTGGTCATCTCCTCCGCGTTCGCCTTGTGAGGGCGCTGCAAGGACACAGGGCTTGGTTGGGAACGCTGCCCTCCCCACATCCCATCTGCAGTCTCACATTTACTCCCAGAAACAGCAAAAATAATAAAACAAATAAATGGAGCAGCAGCACCAGACAAGAGAAACTGATTTGCAAAGGCAAAAAAGCCATTACTGCAGACTGGAACATACCACATATCTAGGCAAAGAAAATATTTAAGCTACAGAGAGAAAACCAATTTTTCAGACTCCAAGGCTTATCTGGAGCAAAGAACATCTCATCTCACTGCAAGAAATCAGAATGCAGCAGAAATATGTCAACACAACCACTTAATCCTTCTTACTTTCCTCTTTGCCTTGTTGACATCGAACTTAGGAGCTTGAAGCACCAAAATTGCAATTGACAAGTACCCCAAGGCCTTTCTCCTCATCACACTTACATATATCTCCATCTTCCTGTAAAGGCCGTAGTTCAGCAGTAGGTTGTGGGTCATCCGGATCCTGTGGGGCTTCATGGGGTGTCCCTGGCCATAATAATAGTTTCCAACATCACCTGGGGACAGAAAGGATTTTGTTACAGCAGGGAAAAGCATGAACTGCTTCAAATCCAACCACTCAAACCACATCTGTCATTTTGCGTGCCCAGCAGCAGCCCATCTGTTCACAGGGGGAAGGGTCTGCACGTGCATCTGCACCATCAGAAAGCTTCATCCCAGAGCCAGACAAGAGCGACTTATGGACAGCAGGGCATGGCCAACACGGAGGATTTCCACGGCCGACCTGGGGAAGGCAACCCAGCTGGACGTGAGCAGCCAACAACGCTGTGAAGCTGGAGCAGCTCCAGGCTTCCTGGCAGCAGGAGGTTGGGCACCACGTCTGCTGGTCCTCACTTAGCGAAGGACAGCTCTCCAACCTCCTTCCCCTGGGTTCGGCTCCACGATGGGACCTCACACTCACAGAGCTTCCCTGAGAAACTCGGAGCTCTCTGAGCAGGAACCTGCAAGCCAGGAGGCACACGAGTTTAATCCCAGCTCAGACAGTGACTCATCACCCAGCACACGTAGCCACTTTGCCTCAGTTTACTACTGTGTACCCAGCAGACGTGAGACTCAAAGCTGCTAATTCTGTCAATAAGCAAATCACAGCACAGCTTCACAGCTCCCATTCTTCTCATCCCTTATCGTTGCCTGAAATCCTCTGGAAATCCTTCACTCCACCACCAGGTTAATTGTCAGGCAGTCGCACCTTGCAGGTACACCCCCCAGGTCAGCTCCCCATGCACACATCCTTCCATCTGGTGAAAGCTGAATTCCTGCTGCTGTCTCCCACCGGTTTTTCCCTCCTCTCCCAGGGCACAAATTCCCGTGGTGTTTTCCACACAATTTAACTTTCAGATTTCCGTCCTCTGCCAGACGGGGCAATGAGGAGCTCTGCCAAAAGCTGGGAATGCACACAGCCACACGCAGCAGCAATGCTGCACAAGCCTCATTTTGTTAAGAAATCAAACGAAGTCATTCGCATAGTTTTACAGCTCCCCACCAGTTTAGGAAGCGAGAGACCCAACCCGGTCTGGCCGGTGACTCAGCTGGGAGCATTAATATTTCATCACCAATCTTAACATACAGGAGAAACTGCTACTTCCTCACAGCACACAGCTGTAATGCCTCCTGCACTGGGCACCAGCCTCCTTCCATTGAAGAGATGCAAACCCCACGCCCAAACCATTCTGCTGCCGGAGTTTTGCCTGGGTGATGCTACAGCCTGCACCAAAACCCTACAGCAAAACCAGGGGATGTTAAGCTTTGGGAAACTGTTAGGGGTGCTCAAAACCTCGTCTAGGAAATACAAACACAAAACTACACAAAGCTTTGAAAAATTATTGCCTCCCTTCTTTACCTCGGGCTGTAGCGAGACCCCAGACGTGCCTCACCACAAGCCCTGCCGCACAGCACGGAGCTCGGGTGCACCAATGGCTGCATGATAAGAGTGAGAATTCAGCAGAGACCTCTTCCTGTCTGCCCCATGTTGGAGCCAACAAAAGAGAATTTCCCATTCTTGCAGTTCTAACCCTTGCAAACAGCCCCAGCACACCTCAGCATGTCCATGAACGACCCCTGCCACACAAGATTTCTTTTTCCCCACCCTCTCCAGACCCTCTCCCACAGCTCAGGCAATGACCTCCTGCAGTTTCCTTCCTCTGAAATTTATGCCAGGACCTCCCTTCATGAACCACTGTACCAGGTTGCTCTGCTTTCACTCTCTATGCGACAAAGACCCTAACAAGCCACCCACCCACAAGTGCACATTACGCCTTCCGTGACAAATAAAGCACACTTCCCCCTGTGAATGTTTGCCAGCCCCTCATAAAAGAGCAGTGGAAACAAGGCACTAAAATCTCACCGCAGAGTAAATGGGTGAGGGCAGCTACAGACAAGGGGGAATGACACTAACTTCATTTTGTTACCATGCAATAAAGACGGGAAGGATATCGTTCTGCTTAGCGTTCGCAGCGAGACGATCATTTATTTTGTGTTTAAAACATCATCTCATGCCTTGAAGGATGTTAGCTTGTTCACAGAGTGGAAAGTATCCTTGTGAACACGTTAGATACAAAGGAGGAAGAAGTTGGGACATTGAGAGTTCTTCCACACGCGGGTTGCTTGCGCATATACAGCACCCTGCCACTTCCTGCAAGCACTCTGGTGCTTAAACCGGGCCTGACTGAGCCCAGGGCTCCAGCACCCCACTGCACTTTGAGATGATGGGTGTTCCAGAGGCAGACTGTGTGCTGAATTCAGGCAGCTCTGCTGCTCTGATCCCCTCTTCCTCACCCTGCCTGCCTGAATACACAGGGCCAGCACCACAGGACGCAATCCTACTGCTTGTATTCTCTTCTCAGAAGAAATGAGAGCCCTCACTACCTGCCCAATACAGAAAGCAGTTTAGAAGAGCTCACTTTATTGCTTCAGCAAGGAATACATCCGCTTACCAGGGGGGAAAAAAAAAAAAAAACAGCAATAAAGTTTTTATTTGACTTCATAGACTGAAAACTGCAACAAAACAGAGAACTGCACAATACCTTTTGCACAAAGCAATCCCAGAGCCTAACAAAAACCCGAGCATCACTGAGGCCACCCTCCAAAGGGGAGGGGGCTGTGAACGCGCCCAGGGGGATGAGCTGTGCTCTCTGCCACGGTGCCAGTGGGGAAAGCGCCCGAGGCAGCTGGCTGTAACGCCCGGCTCCTCCCCCACCCCAGAGGGAAGATTAAAAAGCCAGAAAGCAGAGCTCTCAGCGTCCTGAAGGGCAGAGAACAGCAAAGGCAGCCCCCAGCAAGGCCACACCAGCGCTGTGCCCCCAGTGCCCCCCGTCCCGTCCCGCACTCCACGAAGACACTGCTGACCCCAGCGGAAGCTCCAGCAGAGCCCCTTCTTCCCCTCGCAGCCCCTCCCCCCCAAACCTCTCAGAGCCGCCCTGCTCCCTTCCCAGCCCCCAAAGCCCCCCCCAGCCCGCTCCCCTGCCCCCATATCCCTCACTCCAATTCCCCCCGGCACCCAACGCCCCGCTGCAGCCCCGAACCCCCCAAACCCCTCCAAGCTCTTCCCCTCCCCCCCCC